TGTCCCCCTCCTCCCCCCCCCCCGTCGAGAACCACATGGCTTCCACTCTGATGATATTCAGAGTGATATTTTGGCTATTTTCCTAGGCCTTTCGATAAGGAGGCTGTTGCCATCAAACAACTTCTTTCTTGTTAAGTATAGTATATGGTTTCTGTTCTGCTCTTTTTTTTTTTTTACTTTTTAAAATGCAGATCATTCTGACTTGGATGGACTTTAAACATGTAAGTAAATAAATCATTCACCTTAAATTCCTCTTGCCATCATATAGTGACATAAACATATTATATGTGTAGACTATGAATGGAAGCTTAGTTTCCAATTTACATTAATCTTTCAAGAAAATATTCACATATAAAAATAAAAAGCCATTTTACTGCATTCTACACCCTAAGAATGTTGTACCTATATGTATATTCAATTCCACAAAGATATATGTCAGTTACTCTTCTTTCTTATCACCAAAAATAAAAGATTAAGATTACTGAAAAGCTTACAAGATCATTAATGGTATGAACTGTGTAAAGCAGAACATTAGGTGAATAAACCCTAGAATGTTTGAGGGATTAGGCCACTCAATAGGAATAGAACAATTCAGAACAATCAAATACCCTTTCTTCAAATACAAAAAAATCAAATTGAATTTCATGACTACAACATGTGGTAATGCGTTTTCACCTTTCAAGGCTATTAAAGAAAAAAGAAGCCAAAACATGAGCAATATCCATGACAGAACTGACAAAGTAATGAAGCCTCTATGACTATAAGCAATGTCACTCTTGAGTACCGGGAAACTAACAGGATATCATTATTGCATCATACCCTCCCTGTAAACACTTGACAGCTTACATCTGACTCCTACTGAGAAACAGAAAACTAAAATTGTTCCAGAAAGGCAGTGTTTATTATGGTTATCAAAATGCTTAATATTCACTATTTCTTGTAAAACTGGCTGATTCCACATGTACTTCTATACTAAACCTAGAATTTACTTCTATATTTAAAAGCAAAATCAATAATTTGAAAACAAATGTATGCCTAATATATTAAGAAATAGGAAACTCTTAAAGTGTTGAGGTTAAGGTTCAAGACCATCTTCAGCCAAGGAAACTCATTGGAAGATTTTGGCTAGTCTACACATCTCAAAAGAGTGTTGTTGTGGGGATAAAATTGAGAAATGCAAGTTTTATACTATTCTTGAGTTTCTAAAGAAAAGATGAGTATACAACTAATAATTAGGTAAAATCTAAAAAACCTTCAATGTTTTACTGCTATTTTCTAGGGAAAAGACCCACAGAAAAGCCAGTATGTGAATGTTTGTTTTGCCTAATTAAATTATCTGCAGTAAAAGTCAGATAATTCGGAAAATCAGGATAGAGGAATTTTGGAGAGTTGACATATTTCCCTAAAACTAGTGTATTTTCACTACACATTGGTTAAAATATATTCAAAACTCCCTAACAGAGCAATTTCTGTTGCAAGAATGCACATTAAGATCTATCAATATAAGTTCTGGGGTTCAATCTTTAATGAAGTCTGGATTCTTTCTAAGATACTGGACATTTATGCTGACATTGAGCACAGGTGGCCACATAATTTTGACATTTCATCATATAACTACCTCCACATTCTCCATACATAATTTTAAAGAGAGCTAACAATCCCAAATATTGTTCACTTATAAAATATGTGGGCTTCATAACATACACACAAAATTTTATACAGAAGAGGCAACCACAAGATTAGGTCTTGACAAATAACACACTGTATCTCTTAAGTGGGATCCTTTTGTGCCATTTAGCTACAAGAAAATAGCTCACCAGTGTTTACATTTTACTTTGATACAGCATTCAAATATCACAAAGAAAAAAACAATAATCTGAATAGCTAAGCTGTTCTTAATGTAGTTTTGTTTCATTTTATTTTAGTTTTAATTGTTAAAAAGAAGCCCATTTATCATGTTTTTAAACTTCTCTGTAGATCAGTGGTTCTTAACCTTTTTAATGCCGCAACCCCCAACCGGCCGTAAGTCAAGGACTACTCAACCGGTCGTAAGTCGAGGACTACTCAACTGGTGCAGCACCGTTTGCAGAATGGGACTTTTGGCAGGCTCAGCAGGGCAGAGACAGCCTGGACAATTCCTATTGGCTTTTGAAAGCCAATAGAATTAGACTCTATTCAAGAGAGTCTATTCTATTGTCTTTCAAAAGCCAATAGAATAAAAGGAAGTAGCACAGCTAAGGAAAAGGGGGAAAAAATGGCGGACTGCGTTGTTTGGCGACCCCCGTGAAATGGTCATTCGACCCCAAATGGGGTCCCGACCCACAGGTTGAGAACCACTGCTGTAGACAAAGTATTTGACATTGACGAACATAGGACATTATTATTTTTCCTTTCATTGTCTCTTTCCAATAATCTTATTGTGGATGAAAAAGTATTTTAGTTAATAAATATTCCTCTGTATAATCAGTCTTACAATAATACTTGATCATAAAGGTTAGCAACAAATCCAGTTCATTTCCTACTTTCTTTCAGTGATGCTTACCTAGCAACTGGAAGGCAATCACCCTATTGTCTAAACTGCCAAGTTAAGGGAAAGCTGCCCTGAAGAGGAAGATTGGCTTGGTCAGAAAGATCAACATCTGAATAACCAATAACCAAGAGTGACTACTTCCATTCACTTGCCTTCTTTCTGCTTCCAGGGGATAATCAAATTAAATTCGGCATTGGCTACAAGAGGACAGAAAACTGGAGATCATGTTCTTCAGACACATGAATGATAATATTAGCATGACTTTTTTTTTCCTCATTGTTTTTTTAAAATGCATACAGGATCTGGGTTTGCTAAGACAAGAGCAAGGCAACAGAGGACACCAGGCCCAAAGCACCTCATTCATATGATAACTTTTACAACTTTTATTCAGCCAGCAGAGACAGTAGCAGCAGCTCTTTCAAAACCCATTGCTATCCCATTCTCCACTTAGATAAGCAAGTAGCAGAGGCAGCTGTAAAGATTAATACTTGTCTCAGTCCATTTGTCCTTTTCCTTTGCAGCATGGCAGGTAGCTGGGTGAAACCTTAATATGGCCTTTTTCCACTTAAAAAAAATCCAGCAAGAAAATCAGGGATTATTTGATGCGTGCTCCAAAAGATATGAACTGACTGATGAATGCTTATATGGAACAATGTAAAGCCCTAAATAGCATATAGTCTGTCTATAGCAGGGGTTCCCAACCCCCAGTCCGTGGACCGGTACTGGGCCGTGGCATGCCAGCAACCGGTCTGCACAAACAAGCACAGCCCCATCCGTGGAATGCAGGCAGCACACAAAACCACACACTCTCTCTGGTCTGTGGAAAACCTTTCTCCACGGAACCGGACCCTGGTGCCTGAAAGGTTGGGGACCTCTGGTCTATAGCCTAGCTATGGCCTATGAACTACCTCTTCTACTATGAACCTGTATGGTAACTCAGGTCAGTTGGAAAGGTCCTTCCGAAGATGTCCCGAAAGGCATGGGGGTAGCTTAGCTCAGAGCTTTTCAACCTTTTCACCCATTGTACCACTTTTAGGATATGGCAATATCCGAGTACCACCAGTACCTAGTAAGGTGTCAAAAATTTGATAACCAACCCCCCCCCCCGAAAAAAGTGATAAAGTACAGGTAGTCCTCGACTTACAATAGTTCGCTTAGTGACTGTTCGAAGTTACAATGGCACTGAAAAAAGTGCTCCCCAAGGAACAGCCGAGCAAGACACCTGCCTGCCCACCAGCGGCGCTCTTCCTCCTGTCCCAGGTTTTCATTGTTGTGAGCATTTCTGTTGAGGATTGGCAGCAGAGGTAGGGTGGGGGTGTTTGATTTTTATTCCCCCCGTCTGTTGGGTAGTTGCAGCAGGTTTTGGTCACTTCGCATGACCCTGGTACACAGTAACCATCATAAATATGAATCAGTTGCCAAGCATCTGAATGTAAATCATAAGACCCTGGAGATGCTGCAACATTACAGCTGATTGGCGCTTCTTCTGGGCTCACCAGAAGCACCAGGATCAGCACCGAGCTCCAGTTGGAGCCTGGCGCTGATCCTGGCGCTTCCGCTGAGCCCTGACAGCTCTGCAGCTCCAGCCATCTCTCGCTCAGGCTTGTGTGGTACTGCCACCAGTTCAGCTCATTCCCCTCCCCTGCTACTACTTTTCTAGGATGGTTGTGTATCACCTGCCAGGTGCCAATGTACCAAAGGTGGTACCCGTACCACTGGTTGAAAAGCCCTGGCTTAGCTATCTAGTCCAGCAGAGAGTTTTTCTCCAATGTGATTCCCAGACTCTGGATTGCCTTTATCAAAGTGTATCTTTGGCCCCTACTCTCCCAATAAGATACAGTGACAATGACAAAAGTTGGCCTCTGGTCTCTTCCATCAACCTTTAATTTGACCTGAACTGTTTTTTGATGATACGAATTATAATTTCAGTTCTGATCTTAATTGTTCTGTTTTTATTTTTAGATGATATAACTTGTATTTTTGGATGCTGAAAGCCACCCGGATATACAGTAGTCCACAGCTAAAGGCCCAAATTTAATAAATGTTTCAAAAGCTATACATTTATTTACACAAACATTCTGTTTCAAATGTAACACCTCCCAAGACAAACTGAAGGGATGCCAGGGAAACAGTAACAGGTTTTAGATCCACAAATATCTACCAGCCCCAAGGAGTGAAAGTCAGGTAATTAAGGCTATCAAGCATCCTTTTTTCCCCGATCTTTCTAATTGGATGGCCAAAGCTTCAGGGAGGAAATTCTTTCTTCCAGTAAAGCAACCCAACTTTCCGGAAGTTTGGGACCCAATCTCCCACCGCCCCGAGGAGGCCAGCTGAGGATGCCAGGCACTGCCAGTCAACGCATCCGAAAGGCACCGGGTTGGGCCGGTCTGCTTTCATCGAAGGAGCCTTTCCCGTCTCTGGAGACGGTGGCTCCCGGCATAGCCGCCCTGGCCGTTCCCTCCTTCCTCACCCTTCTTGTCCATCAGCCACATGAAGGCGAAGCAGGGCACGAAGCCGATGGGTCCCCAGAAGACCAGCAGGGCGATATCCAAACTGGAGAAGTCGAAGGCCTGGCGGGCCGAGTTCTGAATAGGGCCCCATGTATTCCACACCAGGCCCTGCAGGAAGCCCAGCAGCGAGAAGAGCAGCAGCACCAGCCAGCGCCGCCCGTACACGCGGCCCGGCACCGGCGGCAGGCGAGGCAGGGGCCCCGCCAGAGGCGTCCCTCTGCCCCGTGACTCCGCTGTCGCCGCCCGGTAGAACTGGCCATGCTGAGCAAACGGCGGCGGCCCGGCGGGCGGCGTAGGGGGCAACAGAGGCTCCCGCTCCTCGGGGATGCTCCAGGCTGAGCCCATCGCCAGGGCGGCGGCGCAGGCAGTCCCACCTGCCTGTGGCCGGCTGCTATGCTAACGTTACCAGCCGCGGTGGCGGCGGCGGCAGCGATGTAAGCAAACCCCGCCCGGGCTAGGAGGCAACCTGGCCAGCCGCATGCGCGAGGTAGGCGGGCTTCGCCAAGGCGCTTCCCCGCCGAAGCCGTGATGGGGAGAACGAGGAAGGGGCTGCCCGATTGGGAAGCCCGGCTTGGGGCCCTCCGAATGATCGGGGTTAGAGCTGACCCTGTCCCCAACCGGGGTGCTTAGAGACAGAGGACAATCTCTTCCCACCCATTGGAAGACCACCAAGCCGGGGCAGAGTACTTTAGCCTCTCCGCGGGAGAAGTGGGAGCAAGTCCCTGAGAACCGGCTAATTACAAAAAAAAAGTTGTATATTAGCTTAATTGGAGTGAAGTGTCAGTTACCATCGCGGGGTTTTAACCTTGGCTGGAACTGGGGGGAAAGCCAGTTATATTAATACTCTTCAGCGACATAAGGAAGAGAAAAGAGAGCTGCTTCAGAACGTTTTTTTGGCCCAGGTGGACGGAAGGCAACGGAGAAAAAAGGCGCCGGTTCCCAAGATGAGCCAACTCGGTGCAGCCTCTTGGATGCGAAGTTGAAAACAAAGCCACGTGATTCGGGTCAAATGATCTCTCACATGATCGCGGGTGGAGGAAGGGCTGGCCGGTGACGGTAAAAGGGTGAGCCGAGGAGGAGGAGGAACTGGGAGCAGTCTCGCTCTCTCGGACTAGAGATGGAGAGCGAACCGGTGGCTGCGGAGGTGGCCGCTTTGGAGCCATTGCTTGCTGGTAGGTACGCCTGCCTGCCTGCCTTGCCGTGTTAAGTCTTGTTTGTGGAACTTCGTCGAGACACGTAAAAGTGAGGAGTGATTAAATGATGATACAGGACCCGTTTTAACGAATCGGCTTTTCCTGTCCTATCAAGCTACAGGCTCGCTACTTCAGTCACTTCTTTCTGCTTCGTGAATGAAAAGGAGAACGACTTAACTGCTTTAAGGAATTGCTGTCCATCGCAGCGTTCTCCCGCGCGCCTTTTTGCATTGAAGCGGAAGTAGTCACAGCTCTAGAAAATATACGTTTTAGCGTTTATACATCCATCCGTCTATCCATCCATCCAAGGTGCTATTTATTGCTAAAACAACCCCAAAGTGAAGATGTGACAATTTTAAACAATTGATCATAAAGCTCTAGAAAATGTTCACATCTTAAAACTTACAAAACGTCCTGCTAGCTGGAATAAATAAAACATGTTTCAATATGTAACAATGAGTATCAAGAGAACTGATTTCAGTTCTGCTCGATATACACAATAATCATACCATATTGCACAATGAGGATATTCACATTAGTCAATATAAAATATCTCCAAGTGAAGAATGCTCTGTCTCTTAAATATGATTTGTTATTAGATGTTACCAAATATTTGGAGACTAAAATATTAAAAGTCCAGCTATAGATGGTTTTCATTGCACATATTCTGTATGAAATCTGATAAACATATATAAGGCTAGACTCACGATATGTAACTTGTTTGAATATGCAATTATATGGATTCACTGACTAATTTAAACCAACCCACTTTTGTTCATCTTCACCCAGGTGTTTGGTGAGGGAGGGTGAGACTCCCCACTTCCTTCCATCTGGTCTATTGCACTTGCTATCTTTTATTGTATTTTATTGTATTTTATTTGACTATTGTGAGCCACCTATAGTCATTGGAGTCAGGCAGCATACAAGTTTAATAAATGATGATGAACATGATAGCTTGAACCAAGAGAGTAATTGGTCACATGCACATTCTCCACTCAATTCATGTTTATCAATTGCATTACCCTAATTAATCCATTGCCAACCCAGTGATCATTTAAGAATAAAGAAAACTATTAGGCCTTGCTTTGGATATCAGGTGCTTCTGTATTATTCCCTTTCACCTAAAATGTGATGCAGCTGTCAAGCTATTTTTATTTTTCAAACACAGTCTTAAAAATATGCACTTTTCGCTTCCACAAATTACATTTTGGGTGTGTGTGTGTTGTATTTTCTGTTCTTCAAAAGGTGTGTGTTGAGGTTTCACTCAAGCAGAATGGAAACTTGAATTTACCCTTTATGTATCTACTCCTTTTTTAACTCAATCATTCTTTACCTTCAAGATTGTTTGGGTATTTTCATTTTGTGTGTCAAATATTGATGGCAATCTACTGAACTGACAATGCTGAAATAATATTTACCCAAGCTTCATACTACTCCAGTCAGAAGACTCTGAGCAGTATACAATTCTCGAATAGAGTTATTGAAGGCTAAACTATTACAATGTAACCAATAATAATTTAAAAACATAACTAACACAACCTTATCCCTATTTCTAATACGTAATCCTGGGGAATCGTGTAATCTTTCCATTAAGTCCCCTAAGATCTAGGTCCTACAAAAAAGTCAAGTCTTCACTGCTCAGAAAAACAAAATAGAAAAGAGGCCATCCTTATGTCCCTGGGGAGACTGTTCCAGAGGAGGGTGAAAAAGCTTTATCTTCAGGGTCCATGATGAAAGCATCCTTGTGGAGAAGGGATTGCTAAAATACCTTCTCTCAAGATTACACCTGAAGCAGGTCATCTCAAATACAAATGTTAAATCAACAATTAAGTTGTAGATGTATCAGATTTTTGGTCCACCTAACACAATACTGTCTATTCCATCTCATAGCAGGATTAAGAATGCAGAAACATTCTACGTCAAATGTCAGGTATTGCATCTTAAGTTATTTTGAATATGAAGCATGTACTTTTACAAACCAAGAATATGTAAGTAACCATTGAGCTTTCAAATTCCTTTTAATTAAGGTTTAGGTCCTTTGTCAAAAATTTGTGAAAAAAATGGAAATAATAGGGTATGCGTGGAAGGGAAAGCATAGAATTCATTTTTAGTGCTTCTGGCTCAGTTATGTAGTTTCATTTTTACTCATTTTTTCTCTTTTTTATTTGTTCATTATCTGTTGCTAATTAATGACTGCTAGATTTTCTCTGCAGATTTAGTCTGCCGATAATTTGGCTCAGCTATTTTACTTCACAAATAGCCATTAATTAATTAAGCATTTATGAGGGGACAGTCTTAGGCAGTGAGGGCGAACCTTTTAGAGACCGAGTGCCCCAACTGCAATCCAAAACCCACTTATTTATCGCAAAGTGCCAACAGGGCAGTTTAATCTGAATACTGAGGTTTTAGTTTAGAAAAAACAACTCATACATTAACATCTTTTCTCTTAAAAGAAAAACACAATGAGAAAGCTTTCAACGATAGAAACAACTTTTTTACTGAAAGGTAAAAGTTTGCATTTGGCATACTTTTGAACAATGAATGTGATTTTTGCTGTTGTATGCATGCTGATAATTTGTCTAACCTTGGCTTACACTTTGTAAGTTTGAGAGCAATACATGCAGCACTCAGGTCATCTGTTAGTCTGTTTCTGGCATCAGATTTGATATAATTCAAAGCTGAAAACAGCGCGCTCTGGAGGCTTGTTTTGGCTAGGAAGGAGCTTGAGAAATGGCTTTTTCCTGCGAAAACTTAGCCAAAGAGCGAGGTGCGTGTGCCCACAGAGAGGGCTTCGAGTGCCCCCTCTGGCACACGTGCCATAGGTTCGCCACCACTGGTCTTAGGTTTATTGTTACTTCACTGCTGGATTTGTATTAGCATTATACACCCCAAACAATTTCAGCTTGATCAACCTGATTAAAAGAGGAAACTGGAGACAATTATTTAAAGAGCTGGTCTTTAGAGACAAGAATTTCAACATATCTAGAGTGTCGTTGACAATCATGAGACTTGCTCTTAAGGCACGCTGGCTGAGGAATTCTGGGAGTTGAAGTCCACAAGTCATAAAAGGGCCAGGTTTGAAGACCCCTGGACTAATGTTTTAACTTAAGCTTTTTTTTTCAGGAGAGTCCTTCAAAGGGAGAAAACATAGAAAACTTGTTTCTTCATCTCTTAAAGATCTTTGTCCCTGATGGGCATAATCATCATAGAAGGCAACAGAATGCAGTACAACAGTTACTAGAATTTTTTAAATCAAAGCTTGCATATCCTGGTCATCATTTAAATGCATTTCTCAGTTCTAGTATAACTAATCTGAGGTACAGTCTGCATTGCTGATCAAATGATTTCCCCAACCAGGAAAGGTTAGCAGAGAAGTTAGTACAGTAATAAGACAATTATCAAAAGTTGCTTTGTAACTTCTTGATTCTAGAAAGATTTCCCAATGTGGAAATGATGATTAGAGAAGAAGCAGACAAAAAGTTACAGCAAATAAATCAGAATGGAAAATAGAATTTTCTGCACTTTACACACTTTTTCAAAGCTTCTTTTCCTCTCCTGATCTATAACCTAAAAGTACCGACCAGTTTTCAACAATTTTGTCATGAAATGTTGTTGCAGTTTAGAATTTAGAGATGGTTATAGTTGTTCCTGGAAGTTTATATCTTGACTCGTGGTATTTTATCCATCAAACATACTTTGATCTTCTCTGGTCTTCGGCATACAGCAATCATGGTTTAATTCCAACAGGTGAGCACGTGCACCGCTTGCTTGCCACTCGCCGGCCATTCGCACAAAATTATCCCCTCTACCTCCCCCCCCCCACCGATCCACAAAGCTGGAAAGGTTGGAGAACTCTGGTGTAGGGGTTAAAACATCAAGCTAGAAACCTGGAGTCTCAGTTCTGAAAAACCTTTGTCAAGAAAACTGCAGAGACCAGGCAGTTGCTGAGAATCAGACATGATTGAAAGGAAGAAGAGGAACGCATGATGTTGCTCAGCCTACTGAAATGTGTTGCTATAGGGAAAAATAGGGAATGAAAGGGATTTTCTGAATGAAGGCAAGAAATAAATGGAAGGAAGGACACTGATAAATTCCATGCATCTTTCGTGCCTATAAATAGGAATGCAAAAATGTTAAGAATATAAATAAGACAAATAACTAGTTTAAATGTCTTACAATAGAACTTATATTTCAGCATAGATATTTAATATTATTTGTATTTACCTGTAATTAAAATCATAACTGAAATAATAAGGTGTAATTAGAACATTTTAAATTGCTTTGCTTTGTAGTGCCATGGCCTGTATTTGGATATTACTGCAGTGGTCTGACCTTTCCTCCCCAATTAATTTAACAGAGTGTAGTACTCAATAGGCTTTCTCTAGGCTATAATGTCATCAAAATTAGTTAAAGGGAAAGAATGGCACTGTTGATAAATTGATAGAAGCCAAATTAATTTCTTCTTGCAGCCAGTTGATAGCTTTATTTCACTCTCAGAACAAATGCATTTGTAAACATGCTAATTTCATTTGTTCTTAATGGTGGCATTGTACTCTTTCAATTTTTCACTCCATTGTGTTCACAGAAGTAGATTTATTTATTTCTTTATTTATAGCCTTCCTATAAATAAGGCAAAATATGATACAGCTGCAGAAACATGTTAACCTAATAACATTGGCTGATTATATACTGATTGTGGTATTTAAGCTATGGAATATTGAAGGATTCTAGTCTATATAAAATCTATATGAAGAGCAGGAGTGGATGGAGAGGGCTTAGAGTACAATGATGTTATTATGCTCACAATAACCAGATTTGAGAAAAGCTGTGCAGGATCATGGGAAATAACTAGATGCAATGGTGGATTAGGTGATGCTGAAACTATGAATAAGACTTCCTCTTTTTTTTTTTTTTTTTTGGAATTAGGGACATTGTCTATTATGGACCATAGATGTCATTTGGAGATCTTTCTGGATCCA